CTTATTTTGAGTTAGGAACTGTGCTAGCACTTTACATGTGTGATGCCGTTGAATCCTGAAATCCAACTAATAAGGCCATTTTCATATCCCCATTTAATAGATGAAGAAACTGAGATTCAGGGCGTTCAGCAACTTGCCCAACATCACACAGCTTGAGAGGACCAAACAGGAATTCTCATCCAGGCAGTCTGACTAAACAGAATCTTTACTTATCTTTACTTTACTAGTAGTAGTAAAGTAGTAAAGTAGTAAAAATCTTTACTCATAGTAAAGGGATTGCAAATCAAAATAAGCATTAAGGTATCATTTTTTCACTTACCAAATTAGCCAAAATACTAAAGTTTGATAAGACTCAGATGTTGGCATGGGTGTGAGAAAATAAACATTTTCATGTATTATTGGTACAATCTTTTTGGAGACCAATTTGCTGGTATCCTTGGACACTTTATACGTACCACCAGTTGAAAACTTTATCCCCAGATATTCTCACAGATGTACACAAAATTATACATATACAAGGACATTTATTTTTACATGGTTTTTTTTAATCGCAAAAAATATAGGCAATGAGATAAAGTCCAGCAGAAGAGAACTGGTTTAATTTTTTTTTTAATGCACCTGTATTCTATGCAATACAATATACCCACAAAAAAGAAGGAGGTGGAATCTATATATGGCAACATTATCTGCAAGATATATTAATTTTAAAAAATAAATGCAGAATAGTGTCTAAGTCGACCTAATTTATACAAAATATTTAGAAATCTGAGCTTGTGATTACAGAGAAAATCTCCTGGTGGACCCATGGAAAGTACAGTGGGAACTGTGGGAACTGCCCAGCGGGGCGTGAGGCAACCTTCACTCTACACTTTACACTATTTGCAATTCTTATCATGAACCCGTACAATGTTGAAAAAACAAAAAGCCAAGGTCTGTACTGTTTGAGATTCTTATCGTAACTATCTATTGCTTTCATTTTAAAAAGGCAAAAAGCCAGGCCTAGAGTCACACAGACTGGAGTTTGAATTCCAGCTCCTTCATTTCCTGGTCATAAAACAGGGCAAGTTACTTGACCTCTCTGAATCTCAATTGTCATTGGGAAGTGGGGCAAATTGTGAGAAGTAAAGGAGATAACGTATGCAAAATATCGTCACTGCTTCTACCATTTGTTTAGTGTCAGAGTGTGGTAGCCACTATTATCATTGCCTTCATTCACTGACAGACTATGAAAAGCTGATGTTTTTCAACTGGTTAACTGTGCGTACCAGTAAGTTCTTGCAGCAGATTGTAGGTCTCTTGCTTTCTAGGAGAATGTGATGTCTGGAGGTGCCGCAGCCATCTTGTAACCATGAGGCTAGCCGTTGCTAACACCCTGAAGATGGCAGAGCAGAATTATGGAAAGAATCTGAATCCTTGATGTCTTCATTGAGCCACTGAGCCTACTCTAGAACAGTGACCTCCTAAATTCTTAACTGAAATTAAGAATTAAGTGGTGAATTAAACATTCTCATTGTTTAGATAACTTTTGATTCATAATTCAGTTACTTGCAATCAAAAATGTCCTCAAGGGGGCTTCCCTCTTGGTACAGTGGTTAAGAATCGGACCACAATGGAGGGGACACAGGTTCGAGCCCTGGTCCGGGAAGATCCCACATGCCGCGGAGCAACTAATCCCGTGCGCCACAACTACTGAAGTCCGCGTGCCTAAAGCTTGTGCTCCACAACAAGAGAAGCGACTGCAATGAGAAGCCTGCGCACCGCAATGAGTAGCCCACGCTCGCTGCAGCTAGAGAAAGCCCGCGCGCAGCAACGAAGACCCAATGTAGCCAAAAAACAAAGAAAAAATGTCCTCGAGAGACCATTTCAGGGAGGCTTTGTGGGCATATAAAGAGAGAGGAGTGCTTGTCCTGGGCCCAGCCACTCCCTCTCACCCCACCGAAGAAAAGCCCACCCCTGCTCAAGTTCTACTCTCTCTTTCCATCCCAGACACAGCCCTCAGCCACACTTCAGTTGAGAGGCTCTATCCAGTCCTCCTGCCCGACATGCTGCAAAGAACAGGCTCTCCCTCCAACCTCTCTCTTGGCTGCCATCACCCCTGGCACACCCAGCTGGCCCTGGGCACCAGACAGAGCAGGTGGAAATCATGCCAGGCAAGGAGCGACCAGGGGAAAGACCCTCAGAATCAGCCGCCACCGCGGTGACCTTTAGGCCCCAGTCCCTCTCTGACAGTCAGCTCTAGCTCAGAACCCCCTCCTCAAGCCCACTGCCCCCGGTACTCCCTCTGCCAGACAGGGTCAGTCCCCCGTGACGGGAGGCACACTCCTGGCTGTCCACACCTGCTCTCTCCATGGCCCAGGAAGAGGACCTTCGTGGGGTGGGACCACGGGCACATTTAGAGGCTCTAGGTAAACTTAAAGACAAAGGCAAGCCGAAGAAGAAGGGTTATAAAACAAGGCTCCTACTCTCAGCCCCCTCGGCGTGTATAACTCACATCTGGAGTCAAGGGTGTAAGTAAAGTGAGGCTGTCTTCCCTTTCAAAGGCCGAAATCGCCCCCGCCCCCCTTCCCCTTCTGGGCGCCCGCAGCCCTCTCTCCGCCCCGCCTCGCTCCGCCTGGACTCCACCCCCTCCACCTTCTCCAGCCCTTTGCACCTCTCTGGAATCTTCCGTTCAGCTGTCCTGGTTGGCAGTGGAGCGTCAGGAGTGGCGGAGGGGGAGGAGAAGGCACAGGGACCGAACTTAGCAGTGTCCGCCATCCCCCCCACCACCACCCCGCCACGCGTCTTCAACCCGGGGCGGGACAGGAGGAAGGTCGCTCGAGGCCAACCCGGGCGGGGCAGGGTTGGTGGCTCCCAACCTGGGCCCCCAGGTGCCTCTGGAAGGCGATTCCGCGGCCACAAGAGGGCGCCCGTGCTCCTCCGGCGGGCTGCGCTGCCCGGATCCCAGCTCCGCACCGAAGCCCTTGGCTGACCCCACCAGCCGCCTGGGACTGACGCCCAGCTGTGTCCCAGCCCCTCTGGGACCACAGTTCTGCTGATTCCTGCCTCTCCTTTCCCCAGTCCAGTAGTGTGACCACGGAGGAGGCCGTGGGCCATGCCCAGGGGATTGCATCAGGGGAGAGGGGAAATCTTGGGTTGGGTTGAAATCTTCTCAAGAAGCCCCTTCCCCTCTCTCTGAATTCCCCCAAGTCTGAAGGGAAAGAAAATCAAACCAGAGAGTGTTCCTTAAAAGACGCAAGCGGGGCTTACAAAAGCCACAAAGCTTGCAAACCAAATGGCGTCCTTGGCCACTTTCTTCCCAGACCCTTGACAGCTAGAAATGAAATGTGACGAGAGGAAGGGCAAAGCAGAAGCCTAAAGGGGACGAGCCAAGTGGGCCTGGGATGAGAGGCAATTCCACTCCTCCCCAGCTGGACTCCAGCACCCCAAGTGTAGTTCTTTGGTGAGCCATAGAAAATTCCCGCCCCAACAAAGGCTCCCTACCTGGGCCCACCTCAGGCCTGCTCAGTGTCTCAGAAGTCTTCTCAGAAGTCTCCTCCCCCTGCCCCCAGCCCTGGCTCCTAGACACAAGTCCAGTCCCACACAGGAAGGGAGCAGAGACCAGACAGCATGGTGTATCCCTACCGAGGCCCAGGCCATGCCCCAACCTAATTACAAGGCAAGCAAGAAGATTCTGAAAACATGAGAGAGAGATGACCTACCTAAAGCCAGCAGATGGGTACCACCCAACTGTCGTGCCCCTCGGGTGACCTAGCCAGCCAGGGCCCAATAAAAGTCACCCAAACTGAGGATCGATAGGTGCCCTTCTAGCCTGATCAAAGCCTCTTCACTCACAGGGCAGGACCACTGACAACTGATATCTCTCTTTGGGCAAAAGCGATGGAGACAGCCTGACAAAGCAACCCCAAGTTGTCCCAGGGAGGCCTCCTTCTCCAGGAAGAAGCTCAGAAGCTATTTGGCAAGCTCAAACAGTTTGGGTTTTGTCCGAAGAGAGAAAGGACAGGTGGGAAGGAAGGGCCTAGACTAGTGAAAATCAGGAATGCCAAGACCCTGACCACGGGAAGAGAGAGACTGCTGTTTGGAGCAGAAGGGATAAGGCAAGGCAGAGCTTTGGCATAAAGGGAAAGAAGCAGCAGGATGTGGGGACAGTGGGATGGATGGTGGGGAGAAAGAAGATTTCTGGGGGCAAAGAGGACATGAGACAGAAAAGGAGAAAAGGGGGGAACTGAAATTAAAGATAAATAGGGGGTGGGGGAGAAAGAGCACCAAGGGCAGTGGGTGCAGGACCTGCAGAGCCTCCCCACTGCCCCTGGGATGGATGCCAATGGAGACGCTCTGCTCCCTCAGCCATCTTAATAGGATGCTGAGAAAGCACGCTGTGTCTTTTCTGAGGAAAGACGTTGGGAAATGAAAAGCTTCTGGGGAGCCCACTGCAGACTAGCAGTGAGAGATGGGATGCTTCTCCTTAACATGGCTCTGGGAGCCAGGGTTTCAGAGGACCAGGGCCAGAATACATGTGTCCCAAGCACGGTTCAAGGCAGAGGGTGAAGGACCTGGAAAGAGGCTCTGAATGAGGGAGGTTTAAGGAAACAATGTGGGCCTTGATTAAGGCCAAGCTGACAGGGCAAGAGCTGATCCCACTGGTGGCTGTGGAAGTGGTACCTAGCGACAGCAGACGTGTGCTAAGCGCTAACTCAGTGCCACGTACCTTATGTGGACTACTTTGTTTACTCCTCACAGCAAGTCAAATAAGGGAGGCACCAGCATCACCCCCATTTTACAGATGAGGAAGTTGAGGATCAGCGAGGTTAGTAACTTGACCAAGGTCTCATAGCTATGGGCGAGATCCAGGATTCAAACTCAAGTTTTAGACTACTAAGCTATAGTGCCCCCCTCAATATCCTGAGTATCGGGACCTGCACTGGGAAGACCCCATTGGCCTCCTGTGAAATAAAAACCCAGTACCTCTGCGGGACAGAGACCCAATTCAGCGGATTCGGGAGGTGATGTCACAGTGGGTCAGGGCCATTTTCTGCTTTTGCACCCTCCCCCACACTGTGCCCTCAGCCCAGCAGTAGCCTACACTCTGGCAGGAACAGCTTTTCCCCCAGGTAGGCCGGTGATCCCTGTGACGGTGATGGCAGCTTTGGACTTGGAGAGGAGATGCATGCCCTGTGTCCCGGCCAGGCCCACAGGTGACAAGTTGCAGGGAGCCAGGCTTCAGCTACTGGGGCCCCAGGTTGCCAGGAAGGAGAGCTGGTGGACGGAAGGGAGATCCCTGGAGAAGAGGTGATTCCTGCCTGAGCAGGGAGCTCTAGGAATCTGAGGAATGCTCCAAAGGACAGAATCTACCAGAACAAAACAAAACAAACAAGACCAGCCAGGACCAACTGGACCCTTCCCTGACAAAGCTGTGATCTCCGTTACTTTATTTCAAGTTCAAAACAAAACAGACATACACATAATGAAATCTACCACCTTCCAGAGCCAGGTCTGAAGGGGTCCCAGAAAGTCTGGTCAGAAATCTGGAGTCTGAGAGGAGGAGATCTGTAAATGAAGCTGGTGGCCATGTCCTGGGACCCTAAACCACTGCCAGTTAGGCCCAGCCAGGGAAAGGCCACAGCAGGAAGGGGGTGGGAGGGTTGGGTCTCCAGGTTGAATTCGAAAATTAAGCTGCAGCTGCTCCAAGGAGACTTGTCCGCAGAGGCTGTGCAGCTGGGGCTAGTGAGGCCAAGGACACCATTTCCGCTGGTCTGGGGCGGCAAGCTTACCTAGGAGGGTGTTCTGGGGGCCCCAGCCATGCACAGCCCCCAGCTCGGACACAGGCCAGGCTGGATTCCAGCGCCACCCTGCAAACCTTTATCTGGGTCGCGATGAGGTGGGTGGCTGGCTAGCCCTCCCCATTCAGGGCACAGCCCAGCCTGCCATCTTGACATACCAGGTGCAGCCTAGAGGTGGCAAACGGAGAATGAACTCATGACGGTTTGCATAGGACAGAGGAGAAAGTCTCTTCATGAAGGGTGTCACTGGTCTCAGCCAAGCCCTGTGGCGTGCAGCCTTTCACCTGTCCCTCCCCAACCTCCACCTGCCTCTCCTTGTCCCAGGTGGTAGCCTCACCTCCTTTTACTCAGACTGGAAGCCTCAGCTTCCTGGAATTCCTCCTCCTTCCCAAATCCATCACACGCTGTCTGTGTGTGTGTGTGTGTGTGTGTGTGTGTGTGTGCACACCCAGCCCTAGCTGCCCTCTCCATCTCCCCCTAACAGGCCGCTCCTTGGTTCCCATTCCCCAGTCCCATTCCTCCCTCCCACCTGTTCCACTCGAATCTCCTGTCATGGCAGCCAAAGGGACATTGCTGTAATGAAGTCTGTGTCCACCCCTGCTTCCACAGCCCCTGTAAAGTCCCTTTCCTCAGTCACACCAGGAGCCTCACAACTAGGACCCCCTTGCCAGCCTCCCAACACAACAAACACCCCAACACAGCCTGCACCACAGTGATTCACCGCAGCCTGGGCAAGACAGCCACCTCCAAGCTTCTGGCCAGGCCGTTCTCTCTGCCTGGTATACCCTTCCCTGCTTACCCACCAGTCCAGCCCTGCTATATCATCAAGACCCTGCTCAGCTCTGGCCCTGTGTGAAGATGCCTTCCTACCCCAGTTCATCACTCCTCCCCCCGTGTCCTCACAGCTGGGGCTCCTGGCGTCCCCATGCAGGGCCAGAGATGAGGGCACACTGGTACCCACATGTCACTCCCCAGAGCATGACATGCTTGCCCTGAACCACAGGCGTCGGGATGGACAGGCCCAGGCCCCCGGGCTGCACGGTGCCAAGAGCCTTATGACTGCATGAGAACCTGCTTGATCACATTTTAAAAGGGGAGTAAGGTCAAGTCCCCTCCTGCACACCAGGAGAAGGGGGCCCAGGAACAGGGCCAGGCCATGGGCAGGGCTGCATGTGGGCCCTGACTCCACCTTCCCACGCCAGGTGACTCTAGGCAGGGCACTAATCTTTGGCTTCCTCACAAGGCGGTGCTGGTGGATTCTGTCCCAGGAGCTTGGAATCCCCAACACTAAGCCCCAGGACAAGGACACAAACTCACCCTTATCCTCCACAGGTCTTGAGAGCTCCTTTGTCAATGAAGTCAGGCTGTGCTAAGTGCCAGTGTCCTGAGCTCCCCACCCCCATGGCGCCCTGACCCCCATGGCCTCACAGCTCCTGCCATTTCCCGCTAGGTGGGAGACCCCACCCCAGGCTCCTTCCCTTTTCCCACCCATTCCTGCCCCCCTCCTTTGAAGAACTGCACCAGCTGAGAATAAGTCCTTAAGCCAAAGGAGCAAGGTGAAAATGGTACAATTTCAGGCACTGCAACATATTTTGGGACAGGTGGCCACCCGCTCTCTCCCTCCTGAGGCCAGTGCTGACACATGACCTACTGGGAGGCTGGCTCTTAGAAGTACCCTGCAGTCCTCTGTAATGCTCAGAGCCCCCCATCCTACACACTGTGAGCTCAGCAAGGGCACGGGCAGCTTCTTTCCCAAGGAATTCACAGAACCTGGCATGGAACATGGGCTCAATAAATTCTTCTTGTTCACAACTGCCCTGCACTGCCAGCCACGTGCTGCAGGAAAACACTGCAGGCTTCAGCCAGCCTCAGCTCTGCTCTCATCCCACCACCTCGAGCTGTCCAACCCAGGGCATGGCAGTTACAGCCATGCCAGTGTCTGTGGTTGCGTCTATAAAACAGAGTGAAGAGGTAAAGACTCCACAGAGTAAGGGGATGAGTACAGGCTGTGGCACACGGGAGGCCTCCACACTGTCAGTTCCCTCCCCTAAAGACTCAGACAGTCCTTGCCACTTGGGGCCCCACGTCTCATGGCAGGAATTCGTTGCATCTCAGCACTGCTGTGAAAATAAAGCCATCAAGAGGCCTGGGGAAATCATGGCAGAGTTCTGAGGAGAGACTGAACAGAAGGTCGAGGGTTTTGACAGAAAAGTCAGGATCCCCGTTATGCACAGTGTTGAAACTGTACCAGAGTTCAGAGCCGGATGTGCAGATGTGGCTCTTGGAAATCAAGCCCTTAAAAACTAGCCCAGCTGCAGGGGGCAGGAAGCCCCCAGGCTGCAGTCCTGCGGTCTGCAGACAGCCAAGAACAGAGACACGTCCATGGGTGCCAGTGGGTCCAAAGGGCACAGGGCCCCTACTGTCCCTGGGGCTGAGTCCATGGGCCCAGGGCAGCTCCTGGGACTGCGGCTCCTTACTCAGCGACTGCACTGGAGCAGCCGCAGCAGCTGGGGCACTGCAGGGACTGCATAACAGCTCGAAGTGGCCCCCTCCGGCTCTCCGCAGACAGGCTGTTCTCGCTGGCAGGGGCCCGCTGCAGCTGCTCAAACTGCATCTCCAGGTGCTTCTGGATGGCCAGGCCGAGTACCTCAGGGTCCACTGCAGCTCCATACACCTCCCATGTCATGCCCTCAGCATCCCATCGCACGTCCCGCACAGGGGATGGCACCTCCTCCAGGCTGGACCCCAGAGTTACCTCCGAGAATGTGTGCAGGGCCACAGGGGCCTCCAGAGGCGGGCTGGTGGCCACAGCTTTGCAGACTGCCTTGGGGGCCGCTTGCACACCAGCATCCTGGGCTGACAGAGGTGATGCCAAGATGGGGGCCAAGTCACTTGCTGAGGTCATGGTCCACATATCCTTGGTCCTGGCGCCAGCCTCCATAGCTAACCCGGTGGGACCCCAAGGGTACGCACAGCAGTGGGAATGCCCAGGAAGCCCCGAAGACAACCTACACTGGAATTTCACCCCGTGCTGAGCCTGCAGCCCAGATTCACTCAGTGATGCCGCTAGTTTAGGAAAGGCCAGGATCCCTGGGGCAGGCAGGCCATGGCCGCAGCTGCTGGCCCCCACCTCCCTCACACCACAGAGTAGCGCTGCTGGGGGCAGAGCGTGGCAGGAGGTGGTGGTCGACTGCCCAGTGGCTTTGAGGCTGCTGCTGTGGGTCATTGTGCCCCCCAGGTCAGGTGGCGGCACCCACACCTGACTCTCGTCCAGTGTCCAGGCTGAGTTTGAAGTCTCATCCTCCAGAGCCAGGTCCCTTTCCAGGCCTGCAGGGGCTTGGCCACCCCGGCCAGAAGTGCTGCTGGGCTGCAGCTGAGCTCTATGGACAGGCGAGCTGCCCAGGGCCGAGCAGCTGAGGCTGGCCTTCCGGGCACTGCTGTGGCCCCAGATCTGGGTGCTGCAGACCAGGTCCGAGTGGCTTCTCTGCACAGCGGCGGTGCTGGGGTCCCGTAGGCAGCACAGCTCACCACCGCCCACAGTGCTGCTCTGCCAGTGACCCACGGCCCCGGGCTGTGGCCGGGGGCTGGAGGCACGTGCCCGCCCCTCACTCTCAGCCTGGTGCCCGTCCTCCTCCGGGACCTGGGCACCCGTGCTGGCCTCGCCCGGCTGGGCCTGCCATACGGTGCTGCTGGCGCTCTGCCCCCGGCCTGCGCCCAGCAGGCTGGAGGAGCTCCAGGACAGGGGCTGAGGGCAGGGACTGAGGGGTTCCTGGGCACCCCGCTCAGGGCGGCTGGATCTCATGGCTGCCTGCAGGAGAGAGAGAGGGAGGGAGCGGCGTTGAGTTGGGTGCAGCACTTCCCCTGGACTCTGCTGGGGGCCCACAGGGTGCAAGGCACACTGCGGGGACAGCTTCAGTCCCAGCCTGCCTGACCAGGCAAAGCCACAAGCAAAACGATGACAGGAGACCAGACACTTCAAATCAAGGTCACCACACATTATACACAGGGATCACACTTCAAATATCTAAAAGCCAGAACCGAGCGATCAGAACGAGCCCTAGGGTAAGGTCCTAGAGACCACTCAGAAGGCCAGCTGTTGACTCTTTACTGCTGGGTTATGGGGAAGCGGGGAGCCAGGGGAGAGGCCAAGCCTGCTGGGGACAATAGGTCTTAGCACAGAAGTATTGCAGTATGTTAATAACCAGTAAAGCTCAACTGGTGAGTACTAGCCAGGTTCCTCCCACAACTGTCAGTATCTCTTTCACCTGGACTAGAGCCTCCTTGGTACACGGTGCGGGGGGGGGGGGGGGGCTCAGAGAAGTTTCGTGGGACAAGCAAGAAATGAATACAGGGCACACTGAGAACCACCCTGGGTTCTCCCATGCCCCCTCCCCATCTTCTCTCGCGTAGCCTGACTGAGCTGTCACGTCTCTGGGGATCAGTCTTGGCTGCTGTGAAGGGGAAGGGCTTTCCTGGCTTCCATCACAGGTTCCAAGCGTAGGAAGAGGCCCCCATACCAGCCCTCTACACACAGGACTCACTCGGCATTTGCTCATTCCTCCCACAGCCATCTCCTGAGCACCTACTGCATGCCAGGCTCTCGGAACTGGGCAACATGGAACTAGTTTAGATCAGCTGTGCCCCCCCAGAATGGGGTCCAGTACAGGCCTCCCCCGCTATCCAAAAGTACAGCATTCCTATGGAACCGTTCGTAAACCAAAATTGTGTAAAGCAAAGAAGCAACTACCTTTTCTTGTAAAATCCTCTTTGGATTTCTTTCCTTTATTGAAAACATGTACTAATTAATGTAGGTCTCTCATAAAAGTGAAGTGACGTAAAGTGAACTTTTGAAAAGCAGGGGATACCTGTACCACCAATCAGACACCCGCACCCTTCCTGCCCCATTCCCTCCCTGCCATTCCTGTCCCTTCCTCTAGCCATACAGGCTCCTCCAGACCTGCCCACTGGCCCATCTGCAGCCCAGAGTCACCACCGGCCCCTTCAACCTTGGTGTCTCCTCCCGGGGAAGCTTTCCCCAACGGGACTGGCTCCATCTCTGGCTGAGCACTGTCTGGCCTGGATGGAAAAGTCTGGCCAACTGTGGGCCTCCCACCAGCCTGAAGCTGTCAAAGCCTGTGGCCTGTTCCCCACTGTCTGTCCGAACACGTGGCTGGCACTCAGAAAGTGTCTGCCGTGTGTCTGATGGAGAGAACAAGCGAATACAAGAGTAAACCCGTAGGGGAAAGGGCTGAGTGCCAAGAACGGGGTCTGAGGGAGGGCATTTCCAAGGCAGGAGAGCTCACTTTGCATGATGGATCAGAACTTCCTGGAGGACCAGCCATGCAGGTCAGGCCTGGAGAGAGAGGAGGGAGATGGTGCCCAGGGGGAAGGAACAAGGAACAGGGTGAGCAGAAAGCAGGAGTCATGTGTTCAGAGCACAACAAGGGGGCAGCAGGCTAGGGGCTGGGCAGGGCCCCAAAGGGAGGGAGTAGGGTCAGGGCATCTGGGCCAGCCTGGCCCCAGCCAAAGCTGTGAATTAGAAACATTACTCTGAGACTCCCAGCCAGGCAGGACCAGCTGGAGAAACACCGCAGGGATAGCAGGCAACAGCTGCAGTTTGGAAAACCCCAGTCCTGCCTTCCCAGCCTGGGCTGATAAGAACTGTCAAGAAACCAACCACCCTGGCCAGGTGAGCAAGGCCACTTGAAAGGGAATGTGGGAAGGGCTCTCGGGAACTCAGTTTCTGTATATTACAGACTTCTTGCTGTCCCAGAGCTCAGGAGATGGCTGGTGGCTGTTCAAGCCAACGGTGACGATGTTTCTAGGGCAGCTGTCCCCTGAGAGCTTCAGGCTTGCTATGAAGCCCAGTTCAGCACAACTTCCGGCAATGATGGAAAGATGCTGCTCTGTGCCATCCAGTGCAGTAGGCACTGGTCACATGTGGCTACTGGGCACCTGACGTGTGGCTAGTGTGACTGAGAAACTGAAATCTTGTTTTATTTAAATTTAAGTAATTGAAATTTAAAGGGCCACATATGGTTAATGACGATATATAACCACATATGGTTAATATTGGACTGTGCAGTTATAGACATGGTCCCAGCCTGGGCAGGAGTATCCTGTCCTGGCTGCTCCTTGGGGATGAAGCCAGACTCATCCCTGGAAGAGTCAGGAAAAGGATGAGTAGGCAAGAGAGGACTATGACCCAGGCCCAGCCCTCAAGGAGTTCTAAGATGGACACATAAACAGAGAAGGGCGACAAAGCCAATAACAATCACAGTGATGATAATAAGAAAAACAGCTCCCAGTGCCCAATCACCCACTGTTTGCCAGGCGTGTGCCATCTCCTTTCCAGCACTGTCTCATTTAATAGTCCAAGCAACCTCATGACATATGTCATCTGGGACGTATGAGAGAGGTTTAGTGACTTCCTCAAGGGCACACAGCTGGAAGTGGTTAAGCCAGGAATTAAACCCAAGAGTGTCTGAGGGTCTCTGTGCTCCCTCTGAGCACCGTGCAGACCTCTATCCCAGACGCCATCACTCTCCACTGTCGTTCTTTTTTATTTACTGTTGCCATGGCTCAGCTGGAGTCCCAGAACCCGGTGCAGCGTCTGGCACTCCCAGTGGGGCCCACAACATGCCAGTGGAACAAGTGAATGAGTACGAACAAAGCCTGGATGTCCATCCCACCCGACCTGCTTCTTAGCAGCTTCATAGGCTGCCCAGAGTCAAGAGGGCAGGAGGAGCACCTGCTGCGTGGGAAGGCTTTGGTCACAGATAGCCCCTGGCAGGCAGACAGCCACGGAGCCCCAAGGCCAAGTATGCCAAGGAAGCCCCATCTGGACAGCCTACACAGCTTCTGGCTGAGCCTCACCTACCCTGGACCCTCCTCACAAATAGGTCCTTAAGAAGCCAGGCCAGGCCCTGGCCCCACTAAGGAAAGGGTGGGACAAGGCTGGGGATACCCTCAGACTCCACCAAGAGCTGGTGAGAAGCCGTCAGTGACAAGGGTCCCGCTGTGCCTGCCTCACCAGATGGCTGTCTAGTGTCCAGGGTTAGTCATCACCCAGTGAGAGAACAGTGACCACAAAGACACCGGGGGTGGGGGGAGGAGGTTATATTTCTGTTGGTTCCCTTCCTCAGCCCACCTCCACAAATGGCAGGTGACAAAACTGAGACCTGGAGCAGCTCAGAAATGTCAAAGAACCCACAGCTGAACCCTAGCTGGCCTTCCCAGCCCGAACGAGGAAAGGGCTTCGAGGGAAGTTACTCGAGTTATGCCAGGGAAAGGAGGTTTCCCACACACCCTACCACCAAGAAGAGGGGCCTCTCAGGAAGCAATGGAGCTGACCAAATGAACCTTGGAGCCAGGGGCAAGCAGGTGGGCCAAGGGGTCTGCTTCCAATCCAGGCTCTTCCCCTTCCTACATATGTGCACTCAGGTGGACCCCTAACCACTTTGAGCCTCAGTTTCCCCAATCTGCAAATCGAAAATAAATCCCCACCCTGCAGGGCTGTTGTGAAAACTGAACGTGACGGCATATGGACTGCCTGGAACAGTGATTGCTAATAATCTTATCTTTCTTCCTCCCATCAGAAGTGACTTGTGCTCAAGGTATCACAGGACTAGTACTTGGGGTTGGGGGGGGAGCAGAAAGATGGCTTTTAGGAAGACATCGAGACACTCTATAGGTTAGCCTGGTCTCGCTTCTTAATCTTTCCTACCCTCACCTCATCCTAGGACCTAGTTACCAACAGTGTTCCCAATGTCTCCATCATCACACTGTTTCCAAGTCTATTTTAAACCTCAACTTCGAAGGATGCCCATGCACACGCTCATACCTGCATGCATATGGACACACACAAGTTTGCAGTCTGCATTCTAAGTGCCCCAAATGGCATGTCCATCTGCCTTAAAAATCATGGAAAAGGCTCTGGTTTCATGCAAAAAAGAGACCCTGGGAAGATGTTTTAGCACCAGTTAAAGCACAGGCACAGAGGTATCCAAGACCCCTAGTGTTCTTTAGATGACAGTTTAATGTTCTCTCTCCTGCCCCATTTGATGCCAGTCAAATTTGCAATGTGGCCAATTCCCTGTGGCCAAGGCAGCACTCTCCTGCTGCCTCAGTTCTGCTTGTCAGCAAGTGGAGGAGCAACCAGCCTCACATGCAGCATTCAACCAATATCATTTTGAGTAAAAAACTCCAGTTCTGCAAAGACTTCCAGTGGCCCAACCAAAGAGAATGCTAGGTTGACCTGGTCAGAGGTTCCAACTCCTGCTGTGTCGCCCTAGCGGAGGACCCCAAGGCCTCTGGGGATGAGCCCAGGGGGATTACCAAGGCCAGTGCAAGCAGGCCCCACTGCAGACCACACCTGTGGCATCCATTTAGGTCTTCTCTTTTAAGGGACAGGCATTTGGATGATGACTTGTTTCCAGCAAAACCAAGACAGGAAAAAGCAAAGCTATGTGGTCAGGAGGGGAAACTGCTCATATGTTGAGATGTGGATCTTACCCCTCAGGGACCAGGGAGAGATACACACCACCCAAATCCTGCATTGCATAGTGAGGGTGTGGCAACCTCCAGCAGGTGGTCTGATCCATCCCAGCAGCAAAAGAGGGACCGACAGGACCAGACTGTTTAGGGCCAAAGTGGGGGAATGCAGCAGGGAGCATTCCTGAGCTTCTGAGAAGTGTTTAGAGGGACAAAACGTAACCATCACAGAGCCTTAAGAACAAGATGCCCAGCTCACAAGCTATGCAGGAAAGGGTTCTGGGGCAACAGTGGGGCAGAGGCCCCAGGACCCAG